ATGTGATATGAAATAAGGGGCAAATATGGTCGAACTTCGAATTTTTTCACAAATATATAACTGTTCTTTACAAATTGATGGCTCCTGTCTTCGTGCTATTTCTATCATTTTGCTTATCTGAGTGGGACGGAAATTTTGGGTAGCAACTTGACATATTAGCCCATTACAACAAGTTCATAACTAGCGCAACGTGCGAAACCAAAAAAGGCTCCGCCGCCGTACTTTACCGGACCACCAACCCTCTAGTTTGTGTTTCCATCTGAGACCATATTACCCTTTTAAATTTCAAACAAAATATGGCAAAACTGTAGAATTGGTCCTTAGCCTATTTCCGCAATAACAAATTGGTCATCCACCTTAGAACATATTTGGCAAAGGTTAATCTTTTCTAGCCATGGTTTGATGGCCATTATTTAAAAAAAAAAAAAAAGGAAAAGAAAAGAAAAGAAAAAGAAAGATGTTTTGAATAGTAAATTTTAGGAGAACGTGTGGTTGAGAGAGAGATTTTTTTTATTTACTTGCAAAATATTTTATTATGTGAAGATATGATTGAAAATGAGCATGAAAATTAAAGAGTATTGTTTTGAAGGAAAAGAAATAGGACTTGATAAAAAATACTTTTTATCAATGTATTTGGTAGGATTCATAACTTATAAATACTTAAAAGGACAACCAAACAAGCACTAATATAAGTTAATTCAATCTTCCAATATACGTGGGACTTGTTGAGCAAAATGTTATATTAGTTTTATCTAAAAGCTCTTTTAATTAGGTGAAGTAATTTCAAAAAATTATTAAAACATGTTAAAAAATGATTTTTTAATCTTAGAAGCGACTTTTGACTTTTCAAAAGTCTTGCCAAATGAACCTTTACATTTTTGTCCCGTTTCATTCCCATTTTTTGGGATAAAATGCATTATGAAATAATAGTTTTTTAAATAATGTGTGGTTAAAAAGTAATTTTTTTTTGAAGCACGTGTATAATTATTCTATAGAAGAATGTGTGGTTGAAAATGAGGCTTAAACTAGGCTCTATCGTCAATGACTAGAATCACCAAATATTCAATAAAATGTCGAGTGTCATTCTCAAGTACGAGTAAAACATAATTTCATAAAATGACGCATAGATTTTGCACAATTCCAACACATGGATTTATTTTGCAACTGTAATGAAAGGTTTAGAATTCATTTGCTATATTTTAAAGATTTAGGTCTAACTTCCTACTATTAAAATTGGATAAAGCTAACTATACATAATTTGATGTATCGAAAGCTATATACCTTCTCACGTAAGGGTGGAATTCACGTCAATAAAATATGGGAAGTACTATATGTACATAATTATTTACCTAATGGTGTCCATAATTACACGTGACACTGGATCTAATATTTAATTCAAATCTCACACTTGAACATCAATAACAGAATGATTGTCATATCACATTATGAACATCATTATGTGCAATAATTATGTACAAATAGAATTTTCCATAAAATATTCGAATGGATCTGAAGTTGTAGAAGGGTACACCCCAGCAAAACTCATTAAAATTAGTTGGTAGCCAGCGGGAAACTTTCTAAATACAATAAATACATAAACTAAAAAAACCCCTCTCTGATTGCAGTAAAGAAAGTTTTTGAAGGTGAAATTCTGCGGCTTATTGATTCATGGCGTTATCGAGGCTTCGACATCCGGTGATCTCTCGAGCCCCTTCGCTGCTCAGGGCTCGTTTTCTATATTTTTCTTCCTCTCATCCATCATTCTATCGGTACTTTTTGTTTTTCTCTCTCTAGTTTGTTTTTGTAAATCTGTTGTGTTTTTTTCCTGCATTTGGATCAGTAAAATCCGTTGATCGAGAAAGAAGTATTCATTTCGATTTAAGCCAAAAAAAAATTGATAAAGAGATCGAATAGTTGGTGAAAATGAGTACTAAAAATGTTCAATTATAGTTTTCTACTCGGGAAACGGAGATTCTTATTTGATAAACACTAATAAAAGTCATAAATGGAATTAAATAATTAAATTAGTTCTTTAAGTTGTAATTTGTATGTAAAGGATGACTGTGAGTGTATATTTATATATTCCAAATTAAACACGCGACTAAATTAGTTCTTTAAGTTGTAATTTTTATTTGAAGGATGTGTACACATTGCTTCTATTGATGTACATCACATGCAGAAAAAGATTACTCTGATTAAATTTTGATTGAAAGAAGTCTCACTCAGGGCCTGCAATTTCTGCTTGATTTCCATTCTCATTTTTCGAGATTTATTATAGTGAATAAATTCTCTAACGTATCAGAAGTAAGTTGCCTGTGCTTCTTTCAAGCACCGATGTTCGTTACTCAAAAGGCTATTGTTTTTTTCCGTAACATATCGTAGTGGGAATTTCTTCAATAGAGTAGCTTTTAAAGAATGTGAACATATATTTTGCACTAATTACAGATTAAGCCCCCGTTTGGCCCACGTTAATTTCAATTCCATTACATTTTATTTTTCTCTCTCCTATTTTCAACCACACATTCTTCCATAAAATAATATTACACGTAAATCGAAAACTTTTCCTTCTTTTTATCCACCCACTTTCATTTCCCCAAAATGGGGGCCAAACGAGGGCTAACTTAATACTGTATTGCTGATTATGAGAAACTATGTGATCAGTAGGACATTTTCATTTTTTGGTCTTACACTCTTATGCTGTGGTTGGCTGATGAAGACAATGAATGAAGAACATCAGTAATCGATAAATACTAAAGAAATGGTAACACAAAGGGTGTCTTTGATATTATCTCTTTAGAAAATCTGGACAGGAAAAGGGAATTTTCTAAAATCATAAGGTTATTATCCCACTGACTAGAAAAAGTTAAAAAAGAATGTATATCGCTTCTGTTCTACTAGGAGTCTAGGAAGCCCTGAACTTTCTGGAAAGTGAATGTTTCCACTTCACCATCTTGTAAGACATCTAGAGTATTTCTTTGCCGAATTCTGGATTTGGAGATACCAACTTGTATCATCAAGTCATGGATTCCTTTTCATGTAATGGATTGGTAAAAGCAATTGACTGAGTTCTAAGCAGTTGATTTGATAGAGAGAATTTAGTATATATCTTATGATACAAGTTTAAGTCAAATGATTGTTCAGTTCCCATTTCAATGATATGTCAGGAATGACAAAACTTTTGATCTTAAGATAGACAGTGAGAGCAGATTACCTTATGCAATAAATACAATCCATTCACAATGTCGAATAGTCTATTGCCTATGTCTCCTGCCTTAAAATTAGACATTCTGGGGCATGGGGCAAAACATCCCTTGCTAGTAACATGCATATCTGCTAATATACTTTTTGATAAGAAAATCCTTCCGTTTTCATGCAATTCTATTTTGTTTTTACTTAGGACTCTTAATGTTTGTCATGCCTTTTAAATTGCATAAAGTTCTTTAACTTTATCACATAATAGCTTATTGTCAAATTATTGATGCTGTAGTTCCAGGATGCTGATCTCTAATGCTGATTTTGAGGTCACTTTGTTAAGGTTTGAATCTTCACACTTGTTATCTATTGTAATTGTCCATTTCTTTGCTTCTGTTTATTTTGGTCATGCAACTCAAAAGTGACAATATAAATTTTACTTAAAATTTCTTCATTTCTGATATTGACTCTGTACATGGGGTCGGACTGGTTGTTTGGAGACTGCATATCTAATTAACTGGACTTGTAATTTTCTGTTTTTTGTGGTTCGCCAATTTATTAATGATGCAAATTTATCAGGCCTGCTCCTTTTTCAAAGTTCAGTGGAGTCCATGACATTTCTTCTAAGCTGAAGGTTAGTGGTGAAAATATATTGGAGATTTACCTTGCACCTTTGCGTTCTATTTCTAACTGTGATTATGGGAATTTGACAGTTGCAGAGTGGTGTCCGAAATTATTCATCTTCAGGTATACCTTTTCTAAGTTCAATATTGCAACTCCTTGAGCGAATTTGTCTATCTCAGAATTTTTCTGGTTTTTTGTCTTTAAAGGAAAGAATCCTGAGAAAAGTGAACAAGGACTCAAACGAAACATCACGAATAACGTGAAAAGAGTCAAGTTATTTGTAGTAGTTCTCCCATCATTGGAAACATCTTGCTGAAAGCTGGTCATCATATTGCAGAGGGCATACCTCTTCAACTGTTCTCTTGTCTGATTTCCTATTCGATTTAATGCCCAGAAAAACCCTTAAAACATTCTCTATTAAGAAAAAAACCAACACAAAAAGCTGAGGCCAATGACAAAAAGCCCAGAATTGCCAAGACAAAGGAGCACACATGTGGATGCCCTAGGCTTATTTTATGTGGGGTTCTCCATAGGAAGTCGAGACGTAAGCTTGAAGTATAAGCTTTAAGGCTCTTAAAGAAGGCCTGACGTGAGACCTTCCAAGTTTAATCGTTGGGCTCTTTTGAAAACAATGCCTACAATGAAAGGAACTAGCTCTGAGATTAATATATCTACTCAAATGTTAAACTTGATATTTCTATTCAAATATGAGACAAATGAGTGCTTCCCTATGTATGCATCTTTTTGTGTGGGGGTATTCGACCCTTTCTCTTTCTGCAAGTCTGTTGGTCGTGTTAGTATGCACTTGGACTAGTTGTGAGTACATTTTTTTTTTTTTAAGATTTGTTGAGTACAGTTATTTAAATTTGACCGTCAATTTATGGATGTCCAGGTTTATGACCTTTTTTCATCCTAGTCAAATGTTTTAATGAAGTAATTTTTTACTTTTTAAATCTACTCACAGCATGATGTGCTTGAGGTAGTGAACGTGAGATGTTCTAAGTGTATGGGCCTCATATGTAAGTGTAAGAAATAACAATTCTAGGAAGTTAGAGAGAGAAATGGCAATAGATGGAGGAGTTCGATTATGAGCTCAGCTTTTTGAGTTTAGTTTGTTGATTGGGCCTCAGGGCCCAAGTCTACCTGACTGACATTTTTTCTGTTAGCCTTGACTAGGCCCAGCCGACCTAAATGACTTTGGTTCTGTAAGACCTTACTACCCAATTTCAACGTGTTGCTTGACCTTCTACAAAATTGAATTTTTTGTTTGTTTGATCTCTTTGAGGCTGACTGAGTTCTTCTCAACTTTATTTTAATGATTTCCAAGTGAAAGCAGTTAGCTCTTGAAACGGTAGTGTCGATATATTAACTCATAAATTGATAAATAGCTGATACATGTGCTAACGTTTTATTTAGCTTAAACTATTAAGCTTATCATAAGATGTTATGTTACTGCAGAACCACCTCATTTAGTGATTCAGATGCCAGCTTTGTCACCTACAATGGTAAGAAAATCTGAACATTAATCTGGAAACATATTGGGACCTTTTACAGGACAAAATTCCATTGGCACCATGATTAAAAACTTTCACATGCTTGTTCATTTCCTTGCAGACTCAAGGTAACATTGCAAAGTGGAGGAAGAAAGAGGGAGATAAGGTCAGTTACATTAAGTAGTTATTTTTGAATGGGGACAGGATGGCTTGTTATCTTTTCATATGATGCCAGTTTAACGAAACTGCGAAAAAAGTATTTGTTGACTTGGAAGAAAGACACCCCAATTTTGATGATGCCTAACCGTGATTTTATTTTTGTCGTCTTTTATTGAATCTAACAGATAGAAGTGGGGGATGTGATATGTGAAATAGAGACGGACAAAGCTACCCTTGAGTTTGAATGTCTTGAAGAAGGGTAAATTCTAATTTTGAGTCTGCTTTAGAATGGGCTCAGCTGTGATTTCGCTGAGAAAATTGCATTGATCATTAGATTAAGATACAGTCAAGTATATTGTGTTTAAAATTTTCTTGCCTCGAGATGTTTCCTTGAGTAAGCATTACATTGCATAGATATCATGTAAAACCAAAGAACGGAGATTCTTCTTCTGTTTTTATGCTATTATAGTAGTATATTCTCATGCGTAAGTCATTGTTCCATGTATAAATTTAGTCTCTAGTCTCCCTATTTATGTAACTTTATCCACCCAATCAAATGCACATTTTGAATCTCCATGATTTATAGTGGTGATGTGATGCTTTGTGGGAGCATAATTTACAGGTTTCTGGCTAAGATACTAGTGCCTGAAGGTTCAAAGGATGTGCCTGTGGGACAGCCTATAGCAATTACGGTATATGTGCAATATACCTCAAGTATTAGTTATTCGTTTGTTATGCCCATGTCTTGTGTACAAATAACAGTTTTACCATTTTTCACACAATCATACTACATTTTCAAATACGAAACTGTAGATTAATGATTTTCTCTTTAAGATCTAGAGCCAACCTTACTTTGTCAAAGTCAGTCCATAGAGGAAAGCTTCTTATCATTAGATGTATAGAGTTCCTATTTTTACTCTACTCTAAATCATTACATTAATTATCATCAAATATTCCCCCAAAATTATTACATTGATTATTGCCATATTTTTCAGTCCATACTTTGGTTGATTTGATTAATTTGGATGTTATGAGCATCATCTTGTAATTTGACTTTAGCTGGTTTAACTAGGTCGAGGATTCAGATGATATAGCTAGTGTTCCGGCTGCTGTTAGTGGATCAGAAGTCAAAGATAATAAACAAAATATCACACGAGAAGATGGTGCACAGGAATCAAGTTCTGTGGACATTAAGACATCTGAACTTCCTTCTCACGTTGTTCTCAACATGCCAGCACTATCCCCAACCATGGTCTGAAGAACTCCAACTGACTTGAGATAAATCTTATGTTGTCATATTTTTCTTCACTCTACTACTCGCTGCTCAAGTATTTTGTTATTTTTTTGCCTACAGAATCAGGGTAATATTGCCAAATGGAGGAAAAAGGAAGGCGATAAGGTCAGCTCTGAATTATACGAGGATGTCTATTTTTTCATATGTGCTGCTTTATATTGTTTATTTCTTTGTTCTTCTCAACCTTTTCTACTTATTGCAGATTGAGGTGGGTGATGTTATTTGTGAAATCGAAACAGACAAAGCTACCCTTGAATTTGAAAGCCTTGAAGAGGGGTAATATTTTTCTTTCTAACTTTGAAATGCATGTTATTGAATGATTTAATATACGGTCAAGATCTTCACAATACTCGTATTTTTTACCATGTCATGTGATGAGGCGGTGACTAGCAGGAGGACCTTAAATAGTAACATAGAAAACATTTAAACTAATAATATTATGATCTTGATTCTCTTGTAGCCTTAGGTGTTAACCTGTTTGATAGTTATGGTGCATTTCATTGGAAAGCTAATAGAATTTTTTGATAGCTTCCCCTTCCAATTCTGGACTGGCGATGTTTTACATTCTGTATGTGAAAACCTTGTATATTACGCTTCTCTGACTTGTTGACACTGTTTACTGGCATTTGGTGCTTCATTCGTACTTCAAGAATTAGTTTTCAGTTATGCCTTCTAGGGCCAACTGTTGGGTGCGATTATGTTATTGGTATATTGGGTCATTTGGGTGCAGGTTCTTGGCTAAGATACTAGCTCCTGAAGGCTCAAAGGAGGTAGCTGTGGGACAGCCCATTGCAATAACTGTAAGTTTTAATGTTTGAACTTGTATTAGCCATTCCTTTCCTTTTCTTTTCTCAATAATTGAAGGTTCAATCTTCCATGCTGGGTTAGGGAATACTCGTAGTTCTTTCTTTTCTGGAAGTTAGAAGGGGCAATTTACATATTTCTGATTATTGCTAGTTCTTTTATGCCTGAAAGTTTATTGTATTCTTATAATTACTTTTATTGTTTTGATCTCTTCTTCTTGGGCGCACTAATGTAATCTATCTCGCAAGGTTGAGGATCCCAATGACATCGAAGCTGTAAAAACATCTGTTAGTGGTGGTGTGGGTGTCAAAGAAGAAAAACCCATCCAACGTAGTACTACCAAGGATATAAAAACTCCAACTAGTTTCACTCGAATTAGTCCAGCTGCCAAGTTACTCATCACGGAGCATGGGCTCGATGCATCATCAATAATGCCATCTGGTCCTCGCGGTACTCTGTTGAAGGGGGATGTTTTGTCTGCAATAAAGTCAGGCAAAGGATCCACCAGAATCTCTGAACCTGAGAAGAAAATTTCTCCATTATCTTCGCCCCAGCCGTCGGCTTCTTCCTCGACATCATTAGGATCAAAATCTGATGTACAACGGACAGATGCTCATGAAGATTTGCCTAATAGTCAAATCCGAAAGGTATTTTTTATTTATTGAATAAGTTTCTAGGACTTCTTTTTGATTGTCCCTCATACTTCTTTTATGGACAGTTGGATGAATAATTGGTGTCAAATACATTAGTGCCTTCTTAAAAAGTGGTCTTCTTATCAAAACTGTATATCGATTTATATAATTATCTATAAAATGCTTGTATGAAAGTAACAACTCCTCCAAAGTATATTTCATTGTATTGTGAAGATGGATGAATTGCAAGCAAAAATGAGAGTATAGCTAGGTCATTGAGTTGTGGTAACTTTACAGTAGATGAGGAAAAAATAGAAAAAAAGTAGTCATGTGAGTTGAAGATGAGGACATTGTAGAAACGACCTTGCTTGAATTGAATGTGATATATGGTAACGGTGAAGCCCATGGGTAGATGTGGGTGAAATTCGTATGATGAACAAAGGCATGGATTTGTCAATTTTAACAACATTGTCCAAGACACTCCTGTAATATGCTTCTTATTCGAACGGATGGCTATCATAAAATGATCTGAAAAGATGCTCTTTGTGGCTGCATCACGATACACTGCTGCAACAAAATGAAACGTCTAAATGTGATCTTTATGTCTGTTTGGGCATTATCTATATCGCTCGGCTTTTCCATGCACCTTTCATATATTCAATTGAAACAGAAAGTGATTCTAGTTCATATATGCTAAAACTTTTCAATAAGGTGCCAACAAACATCCAAACCCTTATATGTTTACCTAGAGTTCATGATTTCATTAACACTTCACACTTTCAGAAGATTGGCCCTGTGGGTGTATAAAATCGAGCTTTTTAGTAATTTTAATTACATATATGTTCTTTATGATGAGCCCAACTGATGATAGGTCTCAGAAGTTGAGTGTTACTGGTTCTTCTTTATGTCAAACCCATTACTATTTCGACCTCATTCACTCAATCAGCTTATATTTATTTGCTGTAATTGATATCATACAGAACAAGATATGACCTTCTTATGGAAGATTTCTTTTGGTTTTTGCACAATACGAAGCACCTCATGACAAAAAACATTTTTTTAAAATTACAATGCTGTTTAATGATTATTTTCATCAATTTCTTGTTTTCCTGTGAATCAGGAAGTATCATTTATGGTTAGTGGCCATAAACCTTCATTATTCGGTAAATTTGCAGTTTATGTGCCCTTTTCTTGTTTCAAATCCCCTTGATTTCTTTTATAGGCCTCGTCTAATCATCTATATAG